AATCAAACCCAGTGAAGGCCCTGCCACAAACCCATTGTTAGAAAAACAAAATAAAACTCTCCACATTGTAAAAGAATGTTATAAAATCCTTCAAAGGCACATGTTTCATTTTAGAGACTAAAGAATAACTTTTTAGGCATGTTTGAGATGGAGCAGAAAGTGGAAAATAGCAAGGAGTAGGGGCACCTTTGGTTTCCCAGCGCCCATATTTCTTGGGCTTCCTAACCACCGTCTGTCAAGAGGGGTGTGACTCTGTCCCAATTCCAGCCCCTCACCTCCCCTGTCACTCCCATAGGAGTCTGAAATACAGGCATGGCAGTTTATCATGTCTACTATGTCGGTAAAATCCTCCAGAATCAGGGATCTGGGAATAGTTGTGCCAGATGCCAAGAAGGAAGACCTAACTTAGCCCCAGGGAACTGTCTGGTTATGCAATGAAGAGAAGAGGCTCATAACAAGGGCTTGGATGAAAAACCAAACTGTCTGTGATGCAACAAAAAACCCTCAAGCTTAAAACACACACAAATATACATTAAGTTGGCCAATCCCCAAGTATGGTGCCTGATTGAGGCCTCAAACTTCTTCCAGTCAAGGCACGAGGGAGATGCATCAAGCAAGCTCGCATTTACCAACATGTGTCAGGGAAACCATCCTACTTCCATCCTGGTAGGACATCATGTTTCCTTCTTTTTTTTTTTAGTGGGACAGAGACTTGCTCTGTCACTCAGGCTGGAGTGCAATGGCGTGATCTTTGCTCACTGCAACCTCCGCTTCCTGGGTTCAAGCAATTCTCCTGTCTCAGTCTCCTGAGCAGCTGGGATTACAAGTGCTTGCTGCCACGCCTGGCTAATTTTTGTATTTTTAGTAGAGACAAGGTTTCACCATGTTGGCCAGGCTGGTCTCGAACTCCTAACCTCAGGCGATCCACCCGCCTTGGCCTCCCAAAGTGCTAGGATTACAGGCTTGAGCCACTGCACCCGGCTGATCATGTTTCTTTCCTACAGATCTTGCTCTAAGAACTGAAATCAAAGACCACTTCCTTGAAAGGACCAGCTGCTGTTCTGGGTCATAGAGAACCCATCTGAGCATATGTAGAGCACCTGTTCTGTTCACCATGATGCTGGCTCTACCACAATGTGGGTACTCAACAAACAGGTTCACCATTGTCAAGTACTGCTACCAACACTGGGTCTATCCAGAGACGAATCAGACAAGGCCTCTGCTCTTAAGCATTCACAGGCTTTCAGAACCAAAGAGCTATGCACAGGAATCACTGTGAAATGAGAAACAAGGGAACCAGGACCATGAGAAAGAAGCATAGGAAACTGAAGAGAGGTGATCAGAGGAGGCTTCCTGGAAGTGGGATTTGCAGAGCACTGAACTTCTAAGGAAGAGGTTAACAAACTATAGCTTGTGTAAAGGTCAAATACAGCCCACCACCTGTTTTTGTATGATTTGTGAAATAAGAATAAATTTTAAATATTTTAAGGTTTACATTTTAAATGGTTATATAAGCACTTAAATAATATCTTGATTTTGCCTCTTAGCTACTAAAGCATAAAATATTTATAATCTGATCCTTTAAAAAAGTTTGCCAGCCCCTGTTCTAAGGCACACAAAAGACCCCAAGATGGTAAACTCAAGTCATAACTAATGTTTGCTGAGAGCTTACTGTTTGCTGTGTGCTACACTGTGCAGACATTACTTAATCTTCACAATATACCTATAAAGGTAATGTTATTCCCACTTCACAGAGGAGGAAACTGAGTCATGGAGAAGTTAGTAACTTGTCCAGAGTCTGGCAGCCAAAAGTTAGTAACTTGTCCAAAGTCTCGAGTGTAAGTCTGATCCCAAAGCTGTCCTCTCAATCACCAACTCTGATGCTTGTCCAGTTCCCTATAGAGAGAACATGTGAGCAGAAGCTTAAAGCTTGGGACACATGTGAAAAACAAGCCCTCATCTGGCTGGAAACAAAGGGAAGGAGAGGCCAGAAAATGGGTAAAATCATGGTGGGAATTGCCAAGTAGAGTATAATTCTGCAATGAATGCATGGCAAATAAAATGGCATAAGGTAATTTCATTGCAACAAAAGCTGTCTATAGCAGCAAAAAATTGGAAACAACATAAATGTCTATTATTAGGTGGTTATATTATGGAATGTTATGTAACCTTTGGGGAAAAAAAGGTCATGCTTTATCTTCATTGTATTGGTCAGCTACTGCTATATAACAAGAAACCCCTAACTTTTAATGGCACACAATTAGCATTTACTTTCAGGTGTCTGTAGATCAGCTGAGCTCAGCTGGGTAGCTCTGGGTTGCTGGTTGGGCCCACATCTGTTCCACTCATTGCTCAGCCTCCCAGGACCAGCGGTCTAGGTATGTACACTCTTCTTGTGGAGATGCAAGAGACCCAAGAGACAAATGGAAACAAGCAAAGCATGGGCTCAGAACTGACACTTGACCCCTGTTGGCCTAACAAGGCTCATGGACCAGCCCAAAGCCAAGGGACTTCCAGCTTTGGCAAAGGGAACTAAAGAGTTACACAGCAAAGGGTGTGGGGATGAGAAGAGGTGAAGAATTAGTTAGAATGATGACTCAACCAACTTCTTAAACTATTACAAAACAACATCTAAAATGTAGCTGGATACTTGCCACAGCTGAAACTACTCCTTAATCACAGTGACAGCCATGTACATGGCCTCTTCCTCAAAAGCCAAAGTTCCATAAGGATGACTTCTACATCTGAGATGAGCCTTTTAACCCCATCCACTCTCATAACTCCATGTGGTTAACATCGCCTGTACTGCCCACCACCTTGCAAATGAAGTGGCTGACATCTGCTCTGCCTGCCACCTTGAACATAATGTAGCTGTCACGTATACCAGCCCAACATTCTGCCACATTGCCCTCAAAGCCCCCCAGTGCAACCTGAGTAGATCCTGAGAGGAGGATGGACTGGGGGTTCTGAGAATGCCCAGTTCTGCATTTGAGGCCACACTTTGCTTGCTCAGGTGCCCAACTCTAGGCCTGTGTTCCTAATGGCCATGCCACCCTGCCACATGTGCCCTGCCTCCATGGCCACCAACTGTCAGTTGCATGTCAGGGATCTCCTCAGCTGCTTTTCCCCTCCAAGGTTATCCTCGACCCCTCCTTTTTTTTTTTAAGTAAAAGAAGTTTCACAGGCTAAAATCACATCTAGGGCATTCAGTGAACCAGAGCCTTGATGACTGCCTATGAGACCAGTGATCCCAACCTGACAGAGCTTTGAGGCCAAAGGCAGGGGAGCAATCCTGGGTGGGCCAGTAGGGAGGGGTGTACCCATGGCAGAAAAGAAGGCAAATTTAGACGTGTGTGTGTGTGTGTGTGTGTAATTGAGTCTTCAAAAATCTTTCTGAAAATGTCTCCCCAAAAGTTTAAGAACTTCCAATTCTGATAATAAAGAACTAAGATAATTCAAACCAACCCTTCTGCTGAAGCTACTAAAAAAATCTGGGCAAAATATGTTTAAAAGCACTTAAAAATTAACAAGGCCGTGAAGAAGTACCAGGATCCAATCTGATGGCAGCAAGACCCAGGGAGGCGAGACCAACTCTCAAAGCCACGTCAGCCCTGTGGCATTTGTAATCCTGAAGAAACAGCTGGTGTTTTATCAGCCTGCTTGGGCACAAAATGCCAATGTCCAAGGTCCACTCAAGGTGAGGAGTCTTATTACCCCCCATTTAGAGAAGACCCCAGAGAACCACACTGTCAGGGTCAAGCAGTAGAAACACAGCCACAGCGTGCACTGTGCAGAACGCACTCTCCTGGTCCAATGAGTGCTCTCAATGAGCAATGGGTGGAGTGCACGCCTGCCCACTTTAAGAAGGAATAAACTTTCATTTGGTGAGTGACCACAGAAGGTCACTGTTGTTGACATCTGTTTTCACTTGAGGATGCACTATTAGCCATCTCTCTGATTTCTTTGATGGCAAGTTCTTGGTTAGAAACACTGCCCCAAATCATTACATTGTGCCTAAGGAAGCACGCACTTCCATCTGTGACAATCAACTCTGTAACGTGGTTTATGGACTCGCATGGCAGCTAAAGTCCTGCCTCTGTAAATGCAAAGTTGTGAAATGCATTGTTTATTTTAAGCTAACCAAAAAGTCTAGAATCAGAAAATCTTGGGTTCAAATCCCTGTTTTTACCACATAGAAACTGTATAACCCTCGGTAAATTATGCACATTACCATGTCTCATTTTCTTCATCCGTAAAATATGGATAATAATGATAATAATAATACCCACAGTCAGAGGGGCACTAGGGGATGCCAAACACTCAGCCAAGTGCCTGGCTACTGCGTAAGTGCTTAATAAATGGCTGTTATTACTAATATTCATTTTAGCCGAAATGTGATCCTGGTTACCACAGTTTAGAATAATGATGATCCAATAATAATAATGGCAGTAGTTAATAGCAATAGCTATAGCTCGTGGGCCAGAGATCGTTCATGAGTCTCAAACTCACACCTTTGAGCATCCCAAGGTGAGCAATTAAAGGTGCACTGTGTTCACATAACTGAGACACCGGCCCAGCACTGCATATTTTGCAAGTAGATTTGATCTCTGACCCCAGAGGCTCCTGGGTCAGGTTGGGAGATAAGAAATGCACACTCAAGGCCATGGGCAGCTAAGAGGTCCCACAAGAAAGGAAATGATGTCGTCTCTGAGGAGAGAGAGGTGGGGAAAGCAACCAAGAGCTCCAGGAAATTCAAAACTGACTGCGGCTGAATCGGAGAACCTGGCTGTGAGTTGGGAGGCAGTGCACAAGTGTGAATGCGGGCAGAAGCTGCCGTGAATGTTCTCCCCTCCAGCATCCATCAGAATAGACAGCAGGCCCCAGGCAGCCCCACTCGTGCGAATCTGTAGTCGGGCTGCTGCACCAGGGGCCTGTACCCACCCACCCTCCCTGAACAGGGCCTAGGACTGGTGTAGGGGCTCTGTAAGAGCCTCACTTACTCTCTCTGACATCTTCATGGGCCACGCGGACACTGTGATCATCGTTGGCAGCCTTCTCAGAGCTCTTGGTTCTCATAACTTTTTTGTTGCTGTTTTTACCTAAAGAGGGAGAGAGAGATGCCTTTACTTTCACATATGTCAGAGCTGGTTCAGGATGCTGAGTTCAACTGTCCTCTCCTGCACAGCAGCCATCTCCCCTTCTGTTCCCCTGTCCCTAAAGATAGTGTCTTGGACTCTAAGGAGTCTCTAGTTAAAGGAAAGGAAATGTGTTATCAGAAACACCCAGGAGAACAAATACTCCTAATAAAAACAACGTACACCTTCACGTTGTTACCATTATAAGACTGAAGATCACGCCTGTAATCCCAGCACTTTGGGCGGCCGAGGCACGTGGATCATGAGGTCAGGAGATCGAGACCTTCCTGGCTAACACGGTGAAACCCTGTGTCTACTAAAGATACAAAAAATTAGCTGGGTGTGATGGTGGGCACTTGTAGTTCCAGCTATTCGGGAGGCTGACGCAGGAGAATAGTATAAACCTGGGAGGTGGAGCTCGCAGTGAGCCGAGATCGCACCACTGCACTCCAGCCTGGGTGACAGAATGAGACTCCGTCTCAAAAAAAAAAAAAAAAAAGACTGAAGAATACTTTTGGGTAGTACATTTGATCCTCACTGAGGCCCAGAGACATCATTTGTAGTTTCTGGAACTGGAAGTGGAGCCTCAGACTTGTGACCCCAGAGCTAGCATTTTCCACCCTGCTGGGCTTCTCCAACCTAACTCTCTCCCAGGCCCTGGCTTGGCACCTGTAGGTAAGGATGCTGCCCCCATTTGGGAGGCCTCCTTGCCATAGCCTGAGACACCTGCCTGCCATGCTCCTGCTGGCCCCCTGGCTCTTTCTCAAACTGCACTTCCTCTCCCTGCTCCAGCAACACTGGCCTCCTTTCAGCCTTCAGTTCATGCTTCTTCCTCACCAGAACTTTGTACTATGTTGTTCCTCCTGGAGCACACTTCCCTTCCCTTCACTCTCAAACTAATTAGCTCCTACTGATCCTGAAAATCTCAGCTCTGACATTGCTTCCTTAAACTTTTCTGACCTCCCCACCAAATCAAATCCACTTTGATGGAAGTTGATAGCACTTGCTTTGGGTCAGGTTGCCTCTAGGTAGAGCCTGATGCAGAGGTTTGGATGCACAAGATGTATTGAGGGAGAGGGAGAGGAAGGGAGGCAGGATGGGATGAAGAAAGGAGCTAAGCAAGGCTGTGGTCTCAGCCAGAGTCAGGCTCAGCCCATCCCACAGGAGCAGCAACTACACACAGGGTTGTCCTGACTCGGGACAAGGAGCTGTCATTTCTACTGCAGTTGGCTTCTGGCTACAGCCTATGAGTGGGAGATGTAGCCTTCCAAGGGTGCTTCTGCAGAGGTAGAAGCAGGTGTGAGCTGCCTGAAGAGGAGACTCCTGGTATCTGGGGGCTGTGTGTCCCTGTGGGGAAAGAAGACCTGGGCGGGGCACTGGCAGCCACACTGCAGCTCTGCACCCATCTTGGGTGGCAGCATCCCAGTGGCAATGGGATGTGTCTGTTGATGAGACAGGGATGACTTCTGGCTTTGCTCACTGCTCTGTCTCCAGAGTCTGGGACTTAGGAGGCTGTGATGAATGAATGAAGGCATGAATGAACAAATGAACCAGTCAGTGAGTGACAAACAAAAACAAGAGGCAGGGCAGGTCTGTGGAGAAAGAAACTTAGCTTGAACTTTAAAAGCCAGTTGAAATGCCAAAATCAGCTGGTGGATTCTGCCAATAATGAAATCATTTCCGACTATGTTACAGTCACCTGCTAAAAGGACACTTATTAAGAAAACCTTAAATCTTCAAGAAATTCAAGGAGTACATTGGGCCAAGCCAAAGGAAACCCCCTTTTTGTTATATTCTTGGGTGGTACCTGCTGGAAGTATCTTTCATTTCCATGTAAGCTTAAAATAAAATAAAAAAATTAAGTGTCCCCATTAGTGTCTAGAAGCCAATTAACTGAAACTTCTGTAAAGGCCAGAGGAGGAGGGCAAGTCGGAGACCTGAACCCACATCTCTGCCTGATGCTGCTTTGGCCTGTGTCCTGCTTCTGTGGGTGGGAACATCCCGGCTGGTGGGAAAACCGTGGAAGGAGGCCACCTCCATAAAAGCCTGACCGGAGCTCCGTAGAGGCCTTAGTGGCTCCACAAAATCAGGATCATAACTTCTGATAAGGCTGAGTTGGATTTTGCAGAAACATAAGATGTTTTAAGAAAAGGAAAGGAAAAAATTTCACAAAATATGTGAGAAAAAAAGCCAAAGTTCTGGAAAATAATGCCCATTCCAGCCTTCCCTAGAAGATGGTGTTCACGACAGCCTTCCTTCAGCCAGGGCCACCTCCATAGGCCCTCCACGGAACAGACAGTGAGAGAGGGAGTCAGGCAGCCCCCCAACATCACAGCCTGGGCAGCCCCCACACCACAGCCCAGCCAGCCCCCACACTACAACACCACGGCCCGGGCAGCTCCCAATACCGTGGCCTGCGTAGCTTCTAATACCATGGTTTAGGCACCCCCCACCAACCCCGCAACCATAATACTGTGGCCTGGGCAGCCCCCACACCACAGCCTGGACAGCCTGCAATACCACGGCTTGGGCAGACCCCACACCATGGTCCTGCCAGACCCCACACCACAACACCGTGGCCTGGGCACCCCAGGCCCAGGCAGATTCAGGCCTATGAGGAAATGGCCCCGTTCAGCTCTGGGACTTCAGTGAAAGTCTGGATGTCAGGCGAAGGTCCTACTACACTGAGAGTGTGACTCTCCTGGCAGGGGGAGGGGGCTGGGATCAACATGTGGGGAACAGACTCCCCGAAGGGAGTGGCAGATGGGGCTGAGATAGCAGACAGGGGCCCAGCGCCTGCGCTGGGGAGGAGGCAGCTGGCAGTTGGGAGTACAGGCCTAAGGGCCTGGTTCCAGTCTGGGGTGCTGCCACGTCTGCCCCTGCATCCACAGGTGTGTCCTGGGATGACCTCATCACCTCTCTACACTTCGGTTCCCTCATCAGTGAAAGGAGAAGGCAACAATACCTGCCATGGTGGAAGTTACCAGCAGGAAACAAAAATGTTGCCTGAAGTGGCTTAGGGTGGCCCTGGCCTGCACCTCACTGACCAAGGACCTATTATCTTCTCACCCATTCCACAGAGCTATTCCAGTTGCTGGAGGAATAATAGCTATGTGCATAGCATGGTTCAAATTTCAAGGCTTTTCACATATGATTCTAATAGGGTCTTTGCATACCACTTTTATAGATGGGGAATACAGATGCTCAGAGGGGAGAAGAGAGCTGCCCAAGGTCACGACAGAGCCAGCGAGGGACAGAGCTGGAGACTGACTCCAAATCTGAGGCTTCACCAGACAGCACACAGGACCCCCCTTCATAGCCCCTTCTCTTCCTAACAAGAAAGGCGGCATATGGTCCATGCAGATGAAAGAAAAGCAAATGGAAACAGTGTGCAGGAAGGGGCCAGGTCAGCCAGCATCTCCATCTGGGCTTCATGACAAACCAAATTCCTTAAAAGTAGCAAACTGATTGCCAATGGCGGGCACATGGTTTATTCTGGTTACCAGTGATAATATTAATTATGATTATAGGAACTATTTTCTCCCTCACTATACAAGGGGTTACAGAGCAGCACCCCAGAGCCGCAAAAAAAAAATGCTTTTGCGCAATTTGGCTATTTCCCCAGGAAATTCCAAGTCCAGCTGTGCTCTGCATTCTACGTGAGAGGACCAGCGCCAGGGCCTTGAGGGGTCCTTGCCTGCTACTCGCTTAAGGAACCCCATTGGAGAATAGAATGACCAAAGAGGTTCTCTGGGGCTCCCGAATTGCAGCATAAGGCTAATCACCACAACACACCGGATCTGCTGGGAACACTCTACACAAGGAGAGCCAGGAGAGCTTCACAGAGGTGAACCAAAAATCTAAACAAAAGCAGTGAGAACGCCTTGCTCTGTGTGGAATGTTTGGCATGGAAGGCCACGGACACCAGGGAGGAACCGGCCTGCAGCCCTTATCTCCAATTCTGGAGGACAGGAAGCTCACCAGAGGAAATAAGATCCAGGGTCAGTGGGTTCCTGAGGGGTTGGAGTTTGAGGCAGTGGGACTGATGCGCTGGTTCCACTCCATCTCAACTGCCTGATGAGGAGGTGGAGGGAGGCTGTGGCTGGACATGGAGGTACTGTGGAAGTTGTCTAACGACTTTTTCCAGAACTAGGACCAAATCCAACAATCGAACAACCCATCAAATCCCATGGCGCTGTTCCTCTCTCCTCTCTCTCTCTCTCATTCTCTCTCAGTCCATTGTGTCTTCCTCTGGGACTTTGCCTGGTCAGTCCTGCCCTCCTCTGGGTCAGCCTTTCATGTAGAAGACCTGGCCTCAGATCTGGGCATAAGGAAGAGTGGGCTTGGTTGGGGCAGCAGTGCCCTGTGGTCCCCCACTCTCGCCCTTTGTGCAGCCAGCAGCTGCCTTTCTGACTTGCAACCAAATAGAGTCCTTTGCCTTTAAAGAGACACCCCGGTAACAGCAGCAGGTGGGTATGTGCAGACACTGTGCAGGGAGCTGTTGGTACCTGCCAGTCTCATTTTAGATTCCATCTGGAAACAGAGCCTGAGACAAGAAGGCCTTGGGCACAGTGCTGTATCAGGGAGGAGATTTCAGGTAGCACAGGTGAAAAGGTGAAAGGGGAAATAGCAATAATTTAGGCTGTGTTGTTTGGCAGGACCCAATGGGGACTCAGGGTGGGCTTGGGAGGGGAGACACCTCTGAGCTGCCCCTCCAGAGGCTTCGAGGCTGGGAGGCTGGGAGGCTGGGCATTGACCCATCCGAGCGCACACCTCCTCCAAAAGCTTAGGTTATTAATTGTTCCCATGCCACACTGAGGAACTGAGGCTTGGAGAGGTCACAAATGCCCGTGAGTGGCAGAACCAGACTTTGACCTCAGCTCTCTCTTAATCCTGAAAAAACTCATCATGGGGCACCTACCTGTGCCTAGCACGAACCAGGCATTCCATACAAATCTGTGACA